TACAGGCGTGAGCCACCACGCCCGGCCATATCTTTTTAAAGAAAGTTTTTATGACATTACAGAAAAATCTGAAAATAAAGACAAGGAAAATGAAAGTCTGAGTTCCACTTAAACCTAAAAAAAGGAAAATGATGGAAAAGAAAACATCTCACATATCTAAAGGCAGTTAGTGTTAATATCTGGTATATTTTCTTCTAGACTCTTTTCTGTGTATGTGTACCTTTTTTAAACAGTATTTAAATGTTTAAATATCATAATAAGGCCTTTAATTAGAACTCTGGTTCCTCTGAATACACTGATAAGGCCGAGCCCACTTCCCTGCCTCCCTTTCCATCAACCTCTCGCTAGCTCATTCACCTGCAGCACAGCAGCCTCCTTTCGCTGGCAGATTTGCCATATGTCATGACCGTATATGTCTTAGAACTTTGTTTCCCAAACTGGAAGCACTGAATGTTAAATCTGCAAGTGCAGATGTGCATATAATCTGAATTTCCTACTCCTACCACCCACCCTCCCCAAAACAAATTTTATCAAAAGATTTTAAAAGAAAAATTTGGAATTATCAACACTTTCAAAGTATATTTGACTTGGAAATTCAGGGTTTTATTCTCGTTTCATTTCTGATTAGCTGCTACAGAAAACTAAACTGTATGTCCCTTGCTCTTTTCACTTACCAATGAGTAATTTAATGCCTACTATTCATATGGCACTTTTATTTAAAAATTCTAACTCATACCATCCAACTTGAACAGGTAGCCATTTTCACAAGACTAGCCTCTAATGAGTTTTGAAATTTTTCCGAAATCAAATGCAACTTTGTGAAGAAGTATCGTCTCTGTCAGAATCTGTTTAAGTGAGGGAAAAAAGATGTGTCATCAAGGTAGCTGAAAGACTGTACATAGCAAAACGCCGGTAATTAGTTGGCTTTAAATAAAGATTTCACATTGAAATATAAGATTTCACATTGAAATCTATATCAATCTGTAGGGTGAGTCCCAGGAATGGGGGACAGTGACAGTTTTTGTGTTTTAAGCTCTGTAGGTCATTCTGTGATCATCTGGGTTGGAAACCCTGGTATAGACAGTGGCTTCATGGTAAGAAAATCTTGCAGATGGGCAAGAGGGATATAGTAATATAACTCTGTTGCCCTGTTATGGAATGTTCATAGTGCTTAATTACTATCTGTATAAAGACAAAAGAAACCTGATGTTCTCCTTAAACCACATTATAATAAAAATCATAAACTTAGTCCCATTTTTTTCGAGTTCAAGCCAGTGTGTACTCTTTTCATTCCTTTTTTTAATAACAGCTTTAATGAGATGTGATTCACATACTTTACAACCCACCTATTTAAAGTGCACAATTCAGTGATTTTCATTGTATTCACAGAGTTGTACAGCCATGACCGCAGTTAAGTTCTAGTTCTTTTAGTAAAATTCCTGTGTAATTTGACACTAGTTAGTCCCATACAGTTCACTGTAGCAATTTTTAAGGCTTGAGTATTTATTTTCCACCAAACTGCACTTTTGTTTTTGTAGATTTTTATATTTATACCGTATAAACTAATAAGTGTTTTTAACTTCCTCAGTTACATTACTATGTTCAGAACCATTTTACAAGTGCAAGAATGGCTTTGGTTGGACTGGGTAAGTTGGGTATTACCTGCATGTCAGTTTGCTTCCTTAATAGCAGTCCCTTAAACTGTAATTATATAAGCATAGAACTGAACAAAGTAGTTTTCTATTTATGTCAGACAGGCGGTATATGATAGGATTTCAATTGCTAGTCATTTGTTTTGGAAAGCAGAATCCAACATTTAACTTTGCAAACTGTTTGCTTTAAATTCTTCATGGTATTTACAAAACTCATGACATGGGTGAATTTCCCTTGGCCAAGATCTTTCATAGATTATCTTTTAAAAAGACATACAGCTTAATAGAAAAATAGGCAAAGGGCATGAACAGACGATTCATGGGGCAAATATATATGTATATATATTAATATATGTGTATATTTAATTATCTTTGTTTTTTCAATTATTTTAAAAGATAGCCTCACTAATAATTTAAAAATTTTTAATTCATGAGATTGGCAGAAAATTAAAAGGTGGACACCACCCAAAATTAAGAAGGGTTTAGATAAGTAGGTACTCTCAAAAATTTCTGGTGGAAGTATAAACTAGTACAACATTTTTGGAGGTCTATTTGAATATATCTGTTAAAATTCAAAATGTTTATACTCTTAGACCCAGCAATTTTACTTTTAAGAATTTGTCCTACAGAAATACTTTATCAAGTTTACAAAATAGTTGCAGGAGAATATTGCTTGCAGTATTTTTTGTTTGTTTTGTAAATAACAGCTTTTCTGATTCAAGCAGCAGAGACAGAAAAAGAAAGGGAAAAAAAGAAAAAGGAAAATAACAGCTTGAGGTATAATTTACATGCCAGAAAATTCATCCTTTTGAAGTATACAGTTCTGTGGTTTTTAGTATATTTAGAGAGTTGTGCAACTATTACCACTGTCTAATTTCAGAATGTTTTCATCATCCCCAAAGAAAACCCATACCCATTAACGATCACTCCCCGTTCTCACCTTCCCCCTGCCTCTGGCATCCACTAATGTACTTTCTGTCTCTATAGATTTGACTATTCTGGACTTTTCATATAAATGGAGTCATACAATTGGCTACTTTTACTTAATGTAATATTTTCAAGGTCCACGGTCCATCCATTATTATAGTGTGTATCATTATTGCATTTCCTTTTGTGGCTGAAAAATATTCTGTTACCACATTCTCTTTGTCCATTCATTGATATTTGAGTTGTTTCCACCTTTTGTCTATTGTGGATATAAACATTTATGTGTAAGTTTTTCTTAGAACACCTGTTTTCAATTCTTTCGATTATATACCTAGGAGTAAAGTTGGCAGGACATATGGTAACTCTCTGTTTAATCATTTGAGGAACTACCAGACTGTTTTCCAAAGTAGGTGTACCATTTTACATTCCCACCAGCAATGCACAAAGGTTTTAATTTCTCCACCTTCTTACTCCACATTCAGCACTTGTCTGTCTTCCTGATCATGGCCATCCTAGTGGGTGTAAGGTGATCATTGTGATTTGATTTGCATTTTCCTAATGACAAATGACATTGAACATGTTTTCATGTGCTTTGGGGGCATTTGTATAACTTCTTGGGAGAAATGTCTGTTCAAATCCTTAGCCCATTTTTCAATTGGTTTGTTCGTTTATTGTCGAGTTGTGTGGGTTCTATATATATTTGGGATACTAAGCTCTTCTCAGATTTATGACCTGCAAATATTTTCTTCCATTTCATGGGTTGTCCTTTCACTCTCTTGACAGTGTCCTTTGGTGCACAATGCAATGTTGCTTTAATACCCAACTATTAGAAACATGCTAATGTCTATCAAGAAGAAATTGATTAAATAAATGATGGTACATCAGTAGAATGGGATTCTTTATAACCAATAAATATTTGATGTAGACTAATCACTTAGATGCAAATTACAAAAGACAAGTTAGAAACAATACCAATAAAATGATAACATTTTAAAAATAAAATCATATTAATAACTACACAAAATTCTAGATTAGTAGTAAATAGTATATAGTAAATAGTTTAGTGATAGTAAACTCTAAATGAATATCTCTGGGAGAATAGCATATGGTGGAAAGACTTGTTTTCTGTTTATTTCTATGATGTTTCACTTTTACAATAATGTTTCACTTTTTAAAGCAAGGAAAAACCAGATATTTTACAATGGTGTTTGAAAAATTCTTGTTCTAGCTTTTCGTTTCTGTTGAAACAGGTGTGAGTCATCCTGTTCTCAAGCAAGTTGCAGAACGGTTTCTCAACATGAGGGGTGGGCTTGGTTTATCTGGTGCAAAGACCAGATACCGTGGAGGTAAGCATTTTTTGTTCTGTTAGGATTGATTTATCAGAAGGAAGTTTCCCCCTAGAACATGTTGAGGGAGGAATAGGCCTGATTATTTACTACCAAACAGTCTCATTTAGAATCACATGGCTTGGGTGTTGTATATTAAGCATATGTTTGATTGTGTGTGTGTGTGTTAGTCCCCAGAATGACATCGGGAAAGTACAGGGCCACAGAAAAGCTTAGTCTTGGTGGGTTAATACTGTGTTGTATGGAATACTGAAGAATGAAACCCGTGGTGAACAAGCCATTTTCTTCTTCACCCTATCCTTACATGGCCCCAGGTGAAATTCGAGAACAGAGTGGAGACAGTCTTGTCCATGCTGCTCTTGTAGCAGAAAGTGCTGCCATAGGAAGTACAGAAGCAAATGCATTTAGTGTTCTTCAGCATGTCCTCGGTGCTGGACCACATGTCAAGAGGGGCAGCAATGCTACCAGCCTTCTATACCAGGCTGTTGCCAAGGGAATTCATCAGCCATTTGATGTGAGTCTGAGTAGTTGGTATCTCTCCTTTTGTTTTCAAAGCCTCAGTATTTATGATGTAATTCTGATAATTCGCTCTTAATGTTAATCTGTTTTTAAAATTTAAGGCCAACACATAGACAATCTTTGTGCAATTAAAGAGACAGCCAAGTTTGATTTTAGTACCTTAGTGGGTCTATCAGAAACTTAGTGTCTTTTCATCCATTCTAATATATAATGGAAGAATTGAATGCTTAGAAAGAAATTTATACTTCAGTTCTCATTGGAATAAAGTTTCAGATATTAAACATTCCCCTATATTCTAACTGGTAAGTCTTTTTTTTTTTTTTAGATTTTTTCCGTCCCCTTCTATTCCTGTGGCTACTTCCTGAATTTCACTCCTGTTTATATTTCCAACCAGGTGGACAAGATACACACCAAGAAATTGTTTACAGACCCATTCCTTCAGTTTGAGATTAAATTTAGAAAGAAAAATGATGGCATTTAACCATAACAAAAAGTTCGTATTTCTTTAGGAGACACCTTTATATGACAGTGAAGAAAGTGTTAATGCTTTGAAAATAATGATATTCGAATCAGGAGAATGTAAAATGTCAACCAACAAAGTATTACATAGTGAGCAAGCGTTGTTTACCCAGTGTAATATCCTACATAACCTTCAATAGTATGTCTTTAAAAGGTAACATATGGTACTAAATTATAGGATTGAGCATTGTTCATAATTTTAGCTATAGGACATGGCAAATGCAGGTTTAGGCTTCAGTAAGTCTTTGGCCATTGACACTTAACAACTTTTTTCTGTTTTTATTTCTATTTAATAGTAGAGTGGTAGTTTTCACATTTTTTTTAGCAGAGGGACCTTTTTTTAATCTCATACTTCCCCAACTGCAATGCACAACACAAAAATTTAACTTTAAAACGAATTTTGAAGGCAGGCTTGACTGTGAAACCTTTCAAATCTTCTGTACAGAGCCTCAGGGTTCCCTGGAGCACAGTTTGAAAGCCATTATCTTAAATTAGTCCTAAATTAGAGTTAGCTTCTGCTTTTTAAATTTCCTCCAGATTTTCTTTCTCTTGGTTCATTGTCAACTCTGTTTTCTTTTCTTTTTGCTTTACTTTTCACCATTGAATGCTACTGATGGTTTTATGTGGCTGGAGTTTAATCCTAATCCAATGAGATAATGTAATAGAAATTCCTAGTTGAGAAATTTGGAATGTGAAAAGGATAGTCTCAGAATTATAATTAAATTTCTAGTAATTGAAGTACAGTTCTTCTTAGATTTTACAGGGACTGAACCAATGGTTCTCACATTAGACTTCTGGAACACTTGTTAAAAATGCAGGCTCCTAGGCTGTATCCCGCAGGGATCTGAAAGTCCATATTTTTAATAACAACTTAGGTAATTTTTATGTAAATGGTCCACATAAACACTGTGACACACTCTACTAGGCAATCAAGTTCCCCATCTACATAATAACAATGTTTGCAAATTAATGTTTTCATTAACCTTTAATCATCAAAAGAAGGTTAGAAAATATCCAGCAAAAAGGAAAGTGAACAGTTGTTTTAGAAAGGTTTAAATGAAAGAGCAGTTAAAACCATTACAGTTCTGAAAGAGGTCACCTGTGTACAGAACACTTCAGTCCTGGGCAGAACTGGTTAAGTGAAATATTAATTCATCTATTTTGCTTATACTGTGAAGGTACAAGTTTTTGTCTAGATAACCTTATGAAATTGTACCCTGTTTTCCTGGTGGAATATCATACAGTGAAGTCGCCCTGTTTCAGGTTTCCGCTTTCAACGCCAGTTACTCGGATTCTGGACTCTTCGGGATTTACACCATCTCCCAGGCTACAGCTGCTGGAGATGTAAGTTGCAAACTCACCAACTCTCACAAACAAGTTTTTTCTCCATCATTAACCTATTTTTAGTTAAAATATGAAATATTTGAATGCCATGATTTATCAGAACTCTGTATAGTATGATATTGCTAAAGTGTATCTGCTGTGGGGAAGCTTAAAAATTTATACTAGTGCTTTCAGGAAAGAGAAAGGAAATGGCTTCTTGGTATTTTGGTTCTGTTTGGACAAATGGCATTGAGTTGGCTCTGAGACATCTAAATTGAAAACCTAGGAGAGGTCAAGGCTAAGATGTATATTTGGGAGTCCTCAATAAAGAGATTGTGCTAGAGTCGGGGTTATGTGTGAAAGAGTGTAGGAGAGGAAAACAAAACAAAGCTCGAGTTCTGGGAAACACCATCATTTAAGGAGCAAATGACTAAGGCAAATGGCCAAGAAACAGTAAGAAAAAGAAGAGAAGCTGGTATATTTGGAGACCAGAAAAGAGAATGATTAATCCCATTTTGATCCACTGTGGAATAATATCATTCCTTTAGTTACCACAAAGAGGTCTCATAGTTTTAGCAAACTGGTACATCGTTGCTGATCTTATCAGTTTTCACCAGAGGAGTGGAAATGACCTAAAATTTATAGTGATTATGGAATGAATGAGAAGTAAAAATGAAAGGTTGGCATGGGCTAGTGGAGCTTAGACTTGCAGAGAGTAGACTGGTAGTTTTAGGAGAGTTTACATTGAGAGATTCAGTTGGAAGAGACAGTCATACTAAAAGAAAAGAAATATTAGAGCAGATATAGGAGTTAGGAAATTATAAATGGCTCAAGTCTGAAAAAGCAAGAGCAAGTGGGATCCAAAGTACAAGTGGACATTTGGGAACAAAGCCTAATGTTAGGAGACAAAGATGTCAGGAAGATGAGTAAGTACATGCTTGGTGAGGTAGGAAGCTGAGTTGTGTTTTGAAAGAGAAGGAAGAAAAGTTAAAGTAATGAGGTTTGGGACAAATGAAGGGCTAGATGGGGCATCACCAGCAGGGTAGGTGTCTCCTGGAAATGAGAGATGACGAATTCATAGTACAGTCAGGTCTGCTTTATAATTTTCCTTCATTCACTAGTTTAATGGAGAAATGGAGGAGGCAGGTAGTAGGCTTAGTCCTGGGTTGGAATCCTGCAAAGCGGGCAGGTCAGGAGTATGAGGGGATAACAGGGGAGTCAGGAGCACTGGCAAGAGTGACCAAAGGGACAATTCATGGATCTAGGCCAGATAGAGAAGAAGTGAAGCCAGGGGGTCTGAAGAATTGAAAGAAAGTAAGCAAATCAAGGAGCGAGAGATCTTGGTGAAGTGGAACGATAAGGAGAGCATGATTAGAGACTGAGGTCAGGGGTCTTGGAATTGAGGGTTTCAGAGGCAGGGCAAGTCTAGGTTACGTTCAGGCCTGGGATGTGGCTATGGATATGGGCAGCTAAAATGAAGGGGAAACCAAGGTCATGGAATTTAGATGATCTGAGAGAGAACAGTAAGTAACAGATCCAGAGTGGTACCAGGGTTGGGATGGGAAAAATCGTGGGCCAGGTTTATTACTTATTCAACAAATATTTACCCAGCACCCAATCACTGGAACTTGATTCCGGCATTGCAAGTGTGGACAAGCCTTGCAAATTGGCTGTGTATAGATTACTACTTTCTTAGGGAATAGTAAGAGATAGCAGTATTAATTGCATGACACTGTGACAATGTGGGGAAATTTTAGAGGTGCTTATTCTTTATAGGTGATTAGAGATCCATGTGTTTGCTCTCCCTTAAAGGAAGAGCCATCCTCTTCAGCCTTCCTCTGCCACTTCACTTTGGAGGAAGCTTGGCTACTTAGAAACTGTAAGTTGTGCAAACAGCTGCTTTGTGGAACATAGGAAGAATAAGGAACATATATGACTACAGAATTCCAAATGGACACTCCCGTTCCTGTGGAACTAACCATCCATCTTGGGTTTTTGCCTCACTAGAGGAGCATTTGATTGTTGCAGGAGACTGGCACTGACCAAAGATGACCAACTTTTACTTATCTGTCCTAGGTTATCAAGACCGCCTATAACCAAGTAAAAACAATTGCTCAAGGAAACCTTTCCAATACAGATGTGCAAGCTGCCAAGTAAGTCTCAGTATTAACTGTGTGTTTCATATTTTAGTTATTTGAAAGTTGTATTTTTCTAGTTATAACAATGTTGTAATATATGCTCGTACAGAAAAGTATTCAAAGGGAAAGGAAAATACACCCATATCCAACCACTTTACAGATATAATTGTTAACATTTTGCTAATTTTCTTGACCATGAATTTTTAAACATAATTGTTAATATTATATATTCAGATGATCCTCGATTTACGACAAAGTGATGTCCCAACAGACCCATCATAAGTCAAAAATATCCTAAGTAGAAAGTGCATATAATATCCCAGTAAAACCACCATAAAGTCAAAAAATCATAAGTTGAACCACCATTTAAGTCTCAGTGTTCCTTGACTTACCATGGGTTGTGTCCCAATAAGCCCATTCATAAAGTTGAAAAATTATAAGTTGGGGACTGACTGTATACTTTGATATCCTATCATGTTTATTATATTAATAGAAGTTTGAAAATTACAAATGAAAAGACAAAAATGATCTGATTCCCTACCAATTATTCCTCTTTTTTAAACATTATAATGTTTCCTTTTATTCAGATTACTAAAACTTGTCTAAACAATATTCATTGGTGTTGTCAAAATACACTTGTACATTTTCTGCAGTTGGAAACTATAAACTATAAAGGATATCTTTGGGCTTAAAACATTTTTGGTGCTCACTTTGGCAGCTCACACACTAAAATCGGACTATTACAGAAAAGATTAGCATGGCCCCTATGCAAGCGTGATAACACAAATTTGTGAAGAGTTCCTTCCGTATAAATGAAAGGAAAAAAAATTTGTATGTCATACTACTTTATTGGTGTAGGTTCCCAAATCAATCAGAGTCACATCTGAAAAGGTCATACCAATTTATAATCACACCACTGGTATATGAATGCCTATTCCACAATAACCATTGACTGTTTTTTTTTTCTTTCCTCTGGAATGATTTACACCAAAAAAAGATACCTGATTTTCTTTTGTATTCTTTTTATAAGAAAGACTAAAATACTTGTGTGCTATCTGGTGATTTTTAAATTCCCACTGTCCATATTAAAAGTGCTAATAACAGGCCGGGCGCGGTGGCTCACGCCTGTAATCCTAGCACTCTGGGAGGCTGAAGAGGGCGGATCGTTTGAGCTCAGGAGTTCGAAACCAGCCTGAGCAAGAGCGAGACCCCATCTCTACTAAAAATAGAAAGAAGTTAATGGGACAACTAAAAATATATAGAAAAAATTAGTCGGGCATGGTGGCGCATGCCTGTAGTCCCAGCTACT